TGACAATGATTCAAGAGGAATTGGGAACGTGTTGGTAGTGACTGATCACTACACCCGGTATGCACAAGCTTTTCCTACCAAGGATCAAAAGGCAGTGACAGTCGCCAGAGTGCTTTGGGAGAAGTATTTCATCCACTATGGCTTACCCCACAGATTGCATTCGGATCAGGGAAGAGACTTTGAGAGCAGACTAGTTAAGGAATTACTTCAACTGCTCAACATCCATAAAAGCCGGACTACCCCTTATCACCCTGAAGGTGATGCTCTCCCTGAGAGATTTAACAGAACTTTGCTTGATATGTTAGGTACTCTACAGGTTGATGATAAACGTACTTGGAGTCGTAAAGTTGAAGCCATGGTTCATGCTTACAATAGCACAAGACATGAGACTACGGGATTCTCCCCTTATTTCTTAATGTTTGGAAGGGAGCCTAGACTGCCAATAGACCTCTTGCTAGGGGTCTCCACTGATGGTGTCGATCATCAAAGTCACTATCAGTATGTAGCTCGTCTGAAAGATACCCTTAAGTCAGCTTATCGTTTGGCTGAAGAAAATGCTGCCAAGATAAATGAAGGGAACAAAAGGAGGTTTGATCGTCGTGTGAGATACAGAGAATTGAAACCTGGTGACCAGGTATTGCTTAGAAACTTGGGCCCTTCTGGGAAGCATAAATTAGCTGACCGATGGAGGAATGAGATTTTTACAGTGGTGAGCAAATTACCTGGAATTCCTGTGTACAAAATAAAGGGACCAGAAGGTAGAGTAAAAGCTTGGCATCGAAACCATTTGCTCCCTATTCCTCAAGTCACTGATGATGATGACTCAGAAGATACTGTGGGAAGGGACTCCCCACAACCTCAGGCTAACATTACAACTGACCCTCCTGACTCTAATGAGAGTGACTGGACTGTAGTTCCTGAGATTCAGAGCCCAACAGCTTCTCCTCTTCCAAGAGAGTCACTGAACCCTAGATCTCCAGAGTTTGTGCCTGAGTCAGTGAGTACGCCTAACCAAGGATCTAGTTCTACTCCACAATCAGTGCCATCTCTTCCCATGACACAAAGCCCTCATTCAGTACCTGAAAATCAGGGATTACCTCATAGGGAAGTGCGTAGAGGAGGAAGGGTTAGACATCCACCACCTGTTTTGACTTATGATACTTTGGGAGATCCCAGCATCATTCCTCAGCCCCATCTATACCATGCCTGGGTAGGGGCAGTATCTAATCTGGTCAATATGCTACCTGTATTTGCATCACCTGGCATGTATTTATACTAATCTGTTGTTTTCTTTAGCAAAACCATTGTAATGGAGAGAGGACAACGTTGTGTATTTGAAATTGAATTTCATTATTGTATATAATGTGAGCTTCCTTTGACGGGACATAAAGATTTCACCAGGGGGAGAGTGTAGGGAACTGTTATTTTATATACTAGTTGTAGTTTGTTTACATCCATATACAGCCACTACCATAGAGGTCCCATTACAGACAAGTCCCTGGGTGTGCTTCCTGCCCCTACAAGGAGGTCAGGAAACCCCAGGATGTTATATAGTTTTTTTCCAGGAAGTATCAGGCAGAGGGTTCCAGCCTGCCATGTGCTATGTATCTGGGGAGAATTGTATGGGAATTCTGTGAGTAATGATCCAGATTAACAAGGCTGTTATCTATGTAGTTGTTACTGAAGCAGATTAGGTCTGCCTCTGTTATTTTTCAACTTCTGTATAGGAATCCTAATATCTCTGTAAGAGAGAGATTTGTGGTTCATTATCATTATTCTATTTACACTGCAGAATCCTTATAGTTGTCTATATATATATATCCAGTGTTTTCACCTGCATTAGACTGTCAGGTGAACTTTCTGTTAATTGCAGTGTATCTTTGCAGCCTCTTTGCTTAAAGAGCCTTATTGGTCTGGATCTCCCTTTAGCTAGGATTAGCATAGGGAGCGTTGGATAAGATTAGGCTAGAGGTAGGTTAGGCATCCGACGGCCACTTAGACAGATAGAGGCCCGGTTGCAGTGACAGCCCAGTTTAGGGATAGGGACTAAGAGTGAGGATAGATAGAGCATTTTATCCTTTTAGGTGATGCATCGCTGATCTTCAGACAAGCAGTGAAATCATCCGCATGTTACTTGGACGCCATCACAGCATCTAAAGTGGAAGCGTGCATCTTATTGACTCTCACCTCTCCAGGGGCCCCTGCAACCGGACTGCGCTATAACCTATGGTTGGAGGTATTCTGTATACTACATGCACATATACCCGGGTATAATTGCAACCTCCCAATTTATGCTAAATTGTAATTCCTGAATGTTATTCTTATGCATCCTGTTTTATATGGCTGCTTTATATAAACTTTGCATTAATCTCATACAGGTGTGGTGACATGTTTTCATGTTAGAAATATAAGCTGGGTGCATTAATACTGCTATGTATAGTTACTTTAAGTTGTCTACCTGTTACATTCCTAGACAAGGGGGAGTCTCCTCAATTGCAGGATCCCTATTCTAGGTGGAGGCACTGCCATTTGTATTATCACAACCCCCTCTTCCATATAGCGAAGGCTCAGGATTGCCTACTCATATACAGGTTAGCGCCATAGCTTGTTTGGTGTGGGCCATTTCACATAACCCCCCCCAAACAGGGCTACAATGCAAATAGTTGCCCACTGAAAACCAAGTTCTAGGGCCCAAGGATTTTGAGGACATCAAAAAGTACTATCAAAGCAAAAAAGTGTAGCACCCTCCTAAATAGGCTGCTAAGGTGCTTAGGAACGTTTAGTTCTTTTGGAGAACAGTGGGTGGCTGGAGAGTACATAAATAGTCTTGGGTCTGGAACTGACCTTTTCTTGTCCAGGAGGAGAAATTCCCAGCCTGAAAGGCTACTGCCCTTTTAGGCAGCCTAGCTGCAGTTGTATGTGTGCTCATCGAGGTCCCAGCTATGCTAAAGCTGGGGGGCATGTTTGCTGAGAATCTCTGGAACTAATTAACAGAGAAGTATGGGGTTTGTTTTTTTTTCCCTCAATTATCCTTACCTAGGTTGATGAAGCATTGGTCCGATGCTTCATCTATCCCCTGCCGGCTCTAAGGGTGAGAATTCATGACCACATGATTGCTGAGTTTTCCTCTCCGATATGAGCAGAGAGTGGGACTGTCAGTCACCGCTGTTTGCTCAGCCCCCCCAGCGCTCACTGGAGCACTGGGCTGTAAAGGGGGAGGGAGCTGTTGGTTCAGGCTCTCAGCACATTGGTGAGAGGACAAGCCAGGTGCTGCTCCAGATTCTGGGGTGGATCCTAGCTTTGAAGTTGGCATCTTTCCATAGCCTGGACTGGATGAGTGACATCAGTCGACAGCGGACTTCAGTCAGCTGTCAGCTGAAAACAGGTCACATGAGTACAGAATGAACTGCACTCCTGTGATCCACATGAGATGTCACGGTCTGGGTCAGGTTCAGAGACCAGTTGCTATAACAGAAAAGGCTTACCTGAAACCAGCAGGATAGGTATACCAGCAGATCCCCCTGGGAAATGACGCAGGCTCACCTGAGGTGCGGGGTCTAAGTATTAACCGGTCTTCACCAGAGCTGCTAATGGTGGAGATGGATTTGGCTGCGTGTTAATACCAAGTCGCAGATCTCAGGATCACCCCACCAGGGAATGAGCAAGCCGGGAACCAATAACGGATCAAACAGGTTAGGGATCGAGCAGAAGCAGAGTCAGTCAACAAGCCAAGGGTCGGTCACAAATGGTAGTAGATGAGGATGAGGCAAAATTGTAGTCCAGAAACAAGCCAAAGGTTGGTAGCGAAGGTATAGATGGCAGCAGGAGAGACAAGCGGGATATTGGCTGGTGAAGGCACAATAATCTGGCAAAGAGGAAATGCAGAGACATGGCTTTTATCAGGAAGTTCATGGGAGGAGCAAGGGGTTCAAGGTTCAAGACAAAACAGGGTCAAGGCAGGATCATCCAAAGAATTGTCAAGGGAGCTGTCCAGCATTCCAGGTGGTTCAGCAAGAAGAAACATTCCCTCTCAGTGCAGAAGGCCCAGGCTCGAACCCAGGCTCTGACATGAGAACTATAACCAAAAGAGCTTTGACTGTACTTCTTTTAGAGATTTAACAGAGGATTTGTTCTGGAGAGTTCACAGAAGAAATGTCTGGCATGTCTGCCAATGTCTGATGATGGAAGGAGGAATCCAAATACCCGGGGACATTGTGAGTACAGACCTGAGCATAGGATCCTAGTGACTGTTTGCTGCTACTATGCCTCGTGCATCAGGGCCAGTTCTTGCTTGGAGTGGAACATTGCTTATGGTGTTCTGGTGCCATCCATTCCCTTGGCTTCTATCAGAGGGACTGTTCTAAGAGATAGCAACACAGTGTAGAGTTTCCTGCTATTACACAATGTCAGTGGAGTATCCCATAGCTCTCTGTACCCCAGCCAGGTTTATCTAGCTTTGATGGAAATAAAGGCGATTTTTTAATCTTTGTGGTTTTTGTATTTTTTTTTTAGAGATTATCCACTTTGGAAATCTTATATATTATGCAAACACATGGTTTTCTTTGGACATACGGTACAACTCAAAATGCAAATAAGGGATGGGATGGTGAACACAGAATTCTGCTTCGACATGTTTCATGATAAATCCCATGATTTAGGTTGGGGGGAGGGGGTATTCTGTTATTGTACATGTGTTTTTTGTATTTATATTTTCTTTCAGATATACATTCAATGTTTCAATGCAGGATGCTGAACAGTGATACACGGTATTTCATTTTATAATTTTTATTATAGAATAATAGTTGGGAAGATACTGGAGAGTTTGATGTGTTCTTGCTAGAAAAAATATTCTAAGCAACAGACAGCATGGATTCATGAAAGACAGAAGAATGAGTGGCTGTGGACATGGTATACTTGGACAGAGCGGTGGCTGTGGACGTGGTATACTTGGACAGAGGGGTGGCTGTGGACGTGATATACTTGGACACAGGGGTGTGCCAGTGGATGTGGTATACTTGGACAGAGGGGTGGTGGTGGACGTGGTATACTTGGACAGAGGGGTGGCTGTGGACGTGGTATACTTGGACAGAGGGGTGGCTGTGGACGTGATATACTTGGACACAGGGGTGCCAGTGGATGTGGTATTCTTGGACATAGGGGTGCCGGTGGACATGGTATACTTGGACAGAGGAGTGGCTGTGGACGTGATATACTTGGACAGAGGAGTGGCTGTGGATGTGGTATACTTGGACAGAGGGGTGGCTGTGGACGTGATATACTTGGACACAGGGGTGCCAGTGGATGTGGTATACTTGGACAGAGGGGTGGTGGTGGACGTGGTATACTTGGACAGAGGGGTGGCTGTGGACGTGGTATACTTGGACAGAGGGGTGGCTGTGGACGTGATATACTTGGACACAGGGGTGCCAGTGGATGTGGTATACTTGGACATAGGGGTGCCGGTGGACATGGTATACTTGGACAGAGGAGTGGCTGTGGACGTGATATACTTGGACAGAGGAGTGGCTGTGGATGTGGTATACTTGGACAGAGGGGTGGCGGTGGACATGGTATACTTGGACAGAGGGGTGGCGGTGGACGTGGTATACTTGGACAGAAGGGTGGCTGTGGACGTGATATACTTGGACAGAGGAGTGGCTGTGGACGTGGTATACTTGGACAGAGGGGTGGTGGTGGACATGGTATACTTGGACAGAGGGGTGGCAGTGGACGTGGTATACTTGGACAGAGGAGTGGTGGCTGTGGACGTGGTATACTTGGACGGAGGGGTGGTGGTGGACATGGTATACTTGGACGGAGGGGTGGCTGTGGACATGGTATACTTGGACAGAGGGGTGGCGGTGGACGTGGTATACTTGGAAAGAGGGGTGGCGGTGGATGTGGTACACTTGGACAGAGGGGGTGGCGGTGGACGTGGTATACTTGGACAGAGGGGTGGCGGTGGACGTGGTATACTTGGACAGAGGGGTGGCTATGGACGTGGTATACTTGGACAGAGGGGTGGCTATGGACGTGGTATACTTGGACAGAGGGGTGGCTGTGGACGTGGTATACTTGGATTTTGCAAAAGCGTTTGACACAGTTCCCCACACACGGCTAATGTGTATGGTAAAGTCTACGGGCTGGAGAAATTCAAATGTAAATGGATAGAAAACTGGCTAAAAGATCGTATTCAGAGAGTAGTGCTTAATGATTCATACTCTGAATGGTCTAGGGTGGTTAGTGGTGTACCCCAAGGTTCAGTGTTGTTAGTGGTGTACCCCAAGGTTCAGTGTTGTTAGTGGTGTAGGTTCAGTGTTATTAGTGGGGTACCCCAAGGTTCAGTGTTATTAGTGGGGTACCCCAAGGTTCAGTGTTATTAGTGGGGTACCCCAAGGTTCAGTGTTATTAGTGGGGTACCCCAAGGTTCAGTGTTATTAGTGGGGTACCCCAAAGCTCAGTGTTGGGACCCTTACTTTTTAATATATTTATAAACAATATGGGGTGTGAGATTATAAATCCCATTCCAGTCTTTGCAGATGACACCAAGCTGTGCCGGGAATAACGTCCTTACAGGATG